TGTCTCATCTGAGTGTCATGTGAGTGATCTGTGTGTATGTGTGTCTCATCTGGGTGTCTGGGTATGTCTGAGTGTGTGTGTGTGTGTGTGTGTGTGTGTGTGTGTGTGTGTGTGTGTATGATCTGTGTGTATATGGCTGTGGCTGTGTAAGATTCACGTAGAACATATGATGTATATGTATAATTATAAAGTGATTCTGGTAGAGTAGTTTACACAGAGGACAGTGGTCCCTAATGGTGCATAGGATGGAAACAGGGACAGAAGTTTCTCATCCAGAGTCTAGAAACAGAAGAATAAGACTCACTCATAAGTGGATACTAGATGTAAAGCAAAGGATAACCAGACGGACTGCAACTCGCAACTCCAGGGAGGCTACCTAGTAAGGAGGACCTTGAGAAAGACACAGGGATCACCCAACGACAGAGAAATGGATGAGATCTACATGAGCAAACTAGGGGTGGGGTGGAAGGTAATGGAGGGCAAGGGTCAGGGGAAAGAGAGCTTAGGGGAGTGGGAGGTCCGAGCTGGATCAGCAGCAGAGTGGGAGAATGGGGAGGGAGATACCATGATAAATGAAGACCCCAGGAGAATAGGAAGAAGCAGAGTGCTAGAGAGGTCCCCAGAAATCCACAAAGATACCTCCACTGTAGACTACTGGCAATGGTTGAGAGAGTGCCCGAGCTGACCTGATCTGGCGATCAGATGGCCAAACACCCTGGCTATCATGATAGAACTCTCATCCAGTGACTGGTGGAAGCAGATGCAGAGATCCATGCCTGAGCCCCAGGTGGAGCTCTGGGAATTGAATCGGCCAGGGAGAGGAGGGATTTTATGAACAAGAGATATTGAGACCATGATTGGAAAAAGCACAGGGACAAATAGCCAAACTAGTGGAAACACATGAACTATGAACCAATAGCTGAGGAACCCCCATGAAACTGGACCAGGCCCTCTGGATAAGTGGGACAGTTGATTAGCTTGAACTGTTTGGGAGGCCACCAGGCAGTGGAGCCAGGACCTGTCCTTGGTTCATGGGCTGGCTTTTTGGAGCCTGGGGCCTATGCTGGGACACTTTGCTCTGCCTTGGTGTAGGGAGGAGGAGAATGGATCTGCCTCAGCTGAGTCTACCAGGCTGAGCTAAATCCCCAGGGGAGACCTTGTCTTGGAGGAGGTGGGAATAGGGGGTGAAATGCGGGAGAGGGCTGGGGGGTTGGAGGAAGGAGGACGGGAGAATCCATGGCTGATATGTGAAATTAAGTTAATTATAAAATAAAAATATTTAAGAGAGAGAGAGAGAGAGAGAGAGAGAGAGAGAGAGAGAGAGAGAGAGCAGTGATGTAGCCTTAGTCTAAGGCTAAAGGTGCAGAATGTTCCTGCAGAGTCAGTAGTGTAAACCTTATTGAAAACTGGAAGGGTCTAGAGTCTGCTGTCTGAATACAATGGCAACTGCTCAGAAGTACACCAAGTCACAGACAGAGCATGTGCACGGGAGCCACAAGGAAGCTGTTCATTTCTGCCTCTTGTTCTTGCCAGGTTCCGGCATCATGTGGGTGCCCCCAGACAACCAGGTAGCTCTTTCTTCACATTTGTTGGCCATCATCTCAAACATTTCTGGAAATATTCACAGACACACAACCAGAAGTCCTGCTTCACCAATATTCTTTGCATCTCTCAATCGAGTCAAATTGACAACCATGGTAAGATGTTATAAGATAGCTGTGTCTAAAAATTAAAGGATTATTGGGGAATATTATTTTAAGGTGTGTTACTTTTGTTTATGTTGCATTTGTTTACCTCTGTGAAGGTGTGTTACTTTGCCTGTCTAAAATATCTGATGGTCTAATAAAGAGCTGAATGGCCAATAGTGAAGCAGGAGAAAGGATAGGCACGGCTGGAGAGAATATATAGAAGGAGAACTCTGGTAGGAAGGAAGAAGGAATAAGAAAACAAAGAGAGGAGGATGTTAGGGGCCAGCCACCTTGATATACAGCATGCCATGGAGTAAGAAATAATAAAAGGTATACTGGTTTAGATAAAGATAAAAGCCCCAAGACCAAAGATAGATAATTTAAGTTAAGAAAAGCTGACTAGTAACAAGCCAAGCTAAGGCCAAGCATTTATAATTAAGAATAAGCCTCCATGTGTGATTTATTTGGGAACTGAGTGGCAGGCCCCCTCAAAAGAGCAAAAAAACCAGCAACATTTTGGTGTTCCAAATATCAGTGGGGCTAGAGTAAAAGAAAAACCAACATTTCTCTCTGTGACCAAATATGCTTCATCCACAGACAACAACAAGCAGTTTGGAGAACACGATGCCCACATTCCCAAGAGTTAGAGGGTGTGGGTGGTCTTTGGTTATTTAGTGGGTTATGGATGTTTGTTATATAGGTTTCTACTCTTGTTTAATGGACTTTTGTATACTGATATGAATTTAAGGTCATTTTGTTATATATAGCATATTGTATATATGATTCTATTCTTGTTTAAGGTATTGTACCCATGCAGTTCATTTAAAAATATAAAATGAAATTCTATTTTTGAAAGCTATAATTATAGACTACTTAAGATAATTAAGAAACATAAGTTAGTAGCCAGTCATTTATAACCATCAAATTTGGAAATATGTTAGGTATGCTTTCAGGATCATATAGAGATATATTTTACATGGATAGTCTTCAAATACTTCAAAGACCTGTAGAATATGGCATTTAAAATATTTTATTAACATAAGATTTTTCATGATAATGAGACACATCTACTGGCAGCACCAATTTACTTCAGAGATGGTAGGCATTGAAAAAACTCCTTATGGGGTTTGCTTTCCTTGTGGCAAGGTTAGCCTCTGGTCAAAGAAATTGCTCTTGCCTTTGACTGCTAACAATGTGCTGCACAGATTGGACATGCAGGACAAACTGGAAAAAGACTGTTATACTTTGTCAAAACAAAGCAGGACAGCCCTTCAAATTTCCAGCTTCACTGAACAATTTACCGGATGCTATAGGTCTGTAGGCTGATGATAGATGTCCCAATGTTGCAGAGGAACTCTGGGTGACTGTCCAGGCAGACAAATGTCTCTGTTGTTAGATAATATTACATTCTTCTGGGCCTTTGATGGAGCTGATGACTAGATAGTTATAGCTGCAGTTTTTCTTAGTTATGATAGAAAGTAAATTAAGTGTAAAACTTGGGATTCACTAAGATAGGATAGATAACACATTATTTTCTCTAAACATGCTAACTACAAATAGAATATTGCAAATGTAATACTTTATAACTTTTGTTGTGTACATTCTTATTATGTTAAAGTTAAAACCTTTCTTTTTATTTAGACAAAAGGGGGAAATGTTGCAGAATATTATTTTAAGATGTGTTACTTTTGTTTATGTTGCATTTGTTTAACTCTGTGAAGCTGTGTTACTTTGCCTGTCTAAAACACCTGATGGTCTAATAAAGAACTGAATGGCCAATAGCAAGACAGGAGAAAAATAAGAAGGGCTAGCAGGTAGAGAGAATAAATAGGAGGAGAAATCTGGGAGAAGTAGAAGAAAGAGCAAGAGAACAAGGAGAGGAGAACACTAGGGGCCAACCACCCAGCCACACAGCCAGCCATGGAGTAAGAGTGAAAGTAAGATTACAGAAGTAAGAAAAGGAAAAAGCCCAGAGGCAAAAGGCAAACGGGATAATTTAAGTTAAGAAAAGCTGATAAGAAACAAACCAAGCTAAAGCCAGACATTTATAATTAAGAATAAGCTTTCATGTGTGATTTATGTGAGAGCTGGGTAGCAGGCCCCCCACAAGATCCAAAAGAACAAAGAGGATAAAGAGTTAACAACAACCAACAACACACCATCATATATTGATTAAAGACTAATGCTGATTGCTATATCTAGCTTTTACAGAGGGTCTGGGCTAACCTATGAAAAGCATAGACAATCTCACGAAATTCCACTTTCCCAGATCTGAGCCAAAGGATTGATATGAGGATTTAGTGAGAATGTGAGTATAAGGTATCATGGGAAGGTATTTATTTTTTATCTTACTTCCATTTTTATTTGGGCTCTACTTTACAACATAATATTTAATAGTTTTAGACATATATACATGGATCAAAATTTTAGCAACAAAAAAATATGTATTTGAAATTCTTTATCTTCCCCTTTCCAAATATCTTGTTCTTTGTGTAATGATAGCACATTTCAAATATATTACTTTATTATTACCTTTTATCACCGGTTAGAAATACCAAGTTAGCAGAGCGGAGAGAGTGAGGGTTCTGCATCTGGCTCCTGCTCTCATGGCCTTCTCAGTACATTGAGTGCCACAGGAACAGCCCTAGGCAAGTGGGAGCCTGACTTGCACTTGGTGATTATGTGCATCTGGAAAGACAAAGGAGATCCTTAGAAGCCCAGAGGCAAAGTGTCTTCTTCCGCATTCTGGGTGCAAACTTGCTTGGAGGAACCCGGCAAGCAAAGACAGATGCTTCAGTCAACTTCTCAGCTTTTTAAAGAAGTGCTCAGGGAGGTGAAGCAGGCTATGTCTGCTAAGAAGGAAAATTTGAAGACATGGCAAAGACTGATGAGGCTTGTTATCAATGAGAACTGGAAATATAGATTTCCCTCAAAAGGGTGAAAACAAACAGAAGATCAGGGTCCAGTGCGCCCAAGGGGACTCACCGGCTTCTGTTGTGAGCTTGGTCCACAGAACATGGAGGAAATCCCACTGGTGATGTGAAGAAAGTGGGAGAGAGGTGGGGCCGGTGACAAGAACCTCATGAAAACAGGGCTGCTGGGCACATTGAAAAGAGGAAAGGGCTAATGCTGCTGCAGAGCTAAAGGAAACCCTGATGCAATCAAAAAGGCTGAAAAGAGCAAGAAGACAGAAGATGAAGGGAATGAGGAAGGGGAAGAAGGTAAAGAAGCTGATGATGATTGATGACGAGTAAGTTGGTTCTAGTGTAGTTATTTTTCTTGTCAATAAATTATTGAACCCTCCTGTAAATAACTTACGAATTTCAAAGGGAAAAAAATTAAAACTGTCTAAGTCTATGTGAGTGCTGTTTGTTTGTTTATTTGGTTTTTGTTTGTTTTGTTTATTACCATGATCTGTGTCTTTTTTTTTTTTTTTTTTTTTTTTTTTTTTTTTTTTTTTTTTTTTTTGTATAGTTGACACACTACCAACTGTCTTGAGACAGCCTTTCTTGTTGGTATTTCCAGTAAACACTGACATTTCTCGGTATAGTACAGGGGTCGTAAATTTGAATGTAAATGTACAGCACATTCTTAATGGTGTGCAGCACAATTTAGTTATATGTGGGACTGTAAGTTTTCCTCACCTTCATTTGTCTCTGTTGCAGCATGTATATGCAAATATGCTGTTTTGTTGTCATTCTAAATGCTTCCAAATAAATTTAAAATCTAATAAAAATGAGCTACAAAGTTATTCTTAGTTCACAGGCCAAACAAAATCAGGTATCAGACCCAAATTTTCTGTTGCTGGCATTTTATCAGTCTATACTTTCTTCTCTTATATTGTCCTCAGATAAACTGAATTTTTGTGATTATTTCAAGGTTTATTTAAATTTTTATTTCCTGATGTCAGAGCTGGAACCTAGGGCATTTTGTATGTTGGACAACTGCTCCACTGTTGGCATGCATACTCAGTCCTAATGCCATGCATATCTCAGTGATACATTATTTACTAAGTCATTAATTTCAAATATTGTTATTGTAATTCTACAATGAGCATCTGATTGCTCAAAACAGAAATCAATTCTACTGTGAATATATGATTTTACTGTTTGTTAGGAAGGGGAAAATCAGTTATTTTAAAGTTCTTACTTTTAAGGTAATTTTATGAGTTGCCTTAGTATTTGTTTTTATGTGTTTTTCTTTTACCTTGAACAAGAACACTGGTCATGATTTTAAAGTATGGTAAAGCAGCAGCTGGCCCACAAGGGAAACTGACATGCAATTTCCTTCAGTGGGGTTCATTGAATGAAAGCATTTCAATGCCATGATTTGGGTTTTGAGTTGAGGGGAAGAGCATTAGATAGAAACAATGCGATACCTGGAGATCTCAACATGATGGGGCCTTTAAAGCCTAGAGAGAAGATTCACTAAAAGTTAGAATAATGGAGAAATAAGGAAAGAAAATAGTAAGAAAGTAAGAGAGGGAAGGAGAGATGTGGGAGGGGGAAGAAGAGAAGAGAGAAAGAGCACACTCAGGAATAAACAGAGAGTGCTGCCATGAAAAGGCCAGTACAGGGAGGCCCAGGGCCCTTCATCTCTGGACCAAATTCCCTAGCAGTCACCCAGAGGAGTCTCAGATTAATTAATGAATGAAAGATCAGACTTTCCATATGCTTTTAGGGAAATGTTACATCACAATATCTAGTTTAGCACAGAGTATGTGCCAAAGAACATGGAAGATCATAGTACAGACTTCTTAGCTCCATCTCAGATAGAGCTGCAGGAAAGCATAGTCTGATTCAGGCTATGAGATTGGAGCTAAAGTTGCAGGTCTATGTTCTAGTGGCCATTCTTTTCTCCACACTATTTGATTGATGCTGAACACTAAAAACAGCATGCTAGATAAGGCAGATCAAGTTTTCACAGAAAGCATGTATGCTCATGACTACAGTACAGTCTGTTTTGAGCTAAATCTTTACAGAAAGCATGTATGCTCATGACTGAAATACAGTCTGTGTTGAGCTCGGCCAGGATCAGGTGGTTTTTGTGACATTATTCTACTTTTCATTTAATCCTGATGTTAGTCTCAAATCACCACACCCAACTTCAATAGTGATTCTGGTAAGAGTTTCTCACACTGCCCCGAGTTCTGATACGTTTTCCACATTTTCCTGAGAGACAGTAGGAAATTCAGGTCTTTCAGCATGATTCATCTCAATTTTTAGTTTTGAGACCAACTAGCACTCCTTGTTTGCAAGTTTCTTACAAAGTGTATTCTTCTGGCACTTACTATTTAAGTTGTGGGATTTTCCAAATGACTACCTTGAGAGCAACAGCCTCTCCTATGCTAAGCCTAACTTTCAACTCTCTCAGCCTCTAGGCTTCCTCCAAAAATAGGAGATACTTCAAGATTAAAAGTTGTTGTCCACTCAGTGTCTACTCACATTCCCTCGAGGCTTTGTCTCTTTCTCACCTGTCTGCTGTAGGAGAGGGACAGAGATTATACTCTATAGGTCAGGGCAATATTTTTGCTCAGCAAATCCTTCATGAATTCAAGCCCCTCAAATATTCAATTATATTATAAAATGCTAAAAACTGCTGGGTCTCTCTTTCCTATGTAGATTTACTTGGAGATAGTATGCCTCTTGTTAGTTGAGGCAAATACTGACCCAATGCCTGGAATTTGACCCTTTCAAGAGTTCTTTCCCTCCACAGCTCTCTGAAGCTTTTAAAGAAGATGAACATTGTGTTGGATCACAGTTTTTCCTGAAGACTTCCTTGTGACAGTGCATCCTCTAGTTTTCTTAGCAGATTCCTGTTGCTTTCTGTAAAAAGCAAATATTTCTGTTTCTAGCTGTCAAGTTTCCTTGTTATTCTCCAGAAGCAAGGTGTTTCTTTCAGGCTTTATGATGTACTGAAATATTTTGTACAGTGGTACTCGATTGAAAGTTTTCCCCATTGTTGCAGGTTTATTTTTCTTAGTGTCTTTAAGGTTATATAACTGATGTATCAGACTCTCACCTTACCTAGGTATGTCTTTATTTATACCATGGAATAATTACAATTAGAAGAAATTATTATGATAATAAGGTTTTTCATCTATCTTGCATATATTTTTCATGTTCAAAATTATATTGTAAACGCTTGGGTAAGATGGTGTATATATGCCTATAGCACTATCAACCCCAACACCAAGGAGATGTGGCAGGAGAATCTATCTACTGAGGCCAGTTTCCACTATATGAGAGTCTGTCTCACAAAAAGAAAATCACACTGTGGACCAGATAATACCCAACGAGAATAGAAGGTATTTATCTAGAGCTTGATATTATGGAGAATCAGCCCCCATTGCTTGGGTTTGGCAAGGACTCAATAGCAGTCACTACAGTGGCCAACTATGTAGTGAATCAGATAATCTTTGATTGTAGAGCATCAGCAGAAGAAAGCTGAAATTTAGGTAAACAAGAAGTGGAGTATACTTTGGTTTTGGTATAACCTGTATTTGATTCACATGTGACCAAGAGTTGAAGGCAGAGCCACACTTAGGGAAGCTGACTGTAACAGCCTCATGCCATATGCTCTGAGCTGACTTGTATTGATGTGGTAGTTTTGCTTTCCTACTGATGGTACCTATTGTGTTTGGTTTTATTGTCAAATATGGTCTGTCCATGTGTTATTTTGTTTCCATTGTACAAATAGAAACTTTTTCAGCAACAATTGAATCATGACATCTTTCATACACCATGCAAAAAAGAAACCAATAGTTTCAGAGAGACTCCCACCTCTTATCCTTAGAAAATCTTTTCAGGAAGTTCATTTATAAATTAAAAAGAATGAGAAAACAATAATAATTCAAATAGCACTTATATTCAAAACAAAATCCTCAGCATATATAGCCTATATAAAGTAACACCCTTAGCTTTTACAAAAAGTGTGTTAGGTTTTATTTGATAAGTTTTTAATGGGCAGAAAGCCTTCCTGACTTCTTATCATCAGTTTTCTCTTGTGTTTCTTCTCATTTCTGCTTATTCTTCCTTGTCAAAGTCTGTATCATGCTCACTCATTTTCATGTTCCACACTGATGATGTGTTCATCTCCCCTAGAAAGGTACGTTTGAACTCATTACATTATGATAATACACCTAAGTCAGAAAACTTCAAATTATGTCAAACTTGACTCTGTGCCGAGATACGTAGTAAAGACAATACTCTTCTAGGTATGGTGGGTGTATTCAACTAAATGTAGATTGCTTTCAAATTTGACATGAACTAAGATAGAAGACTAATACAGCTCTTCCAGTAGTAAAGTACACCAAGAGAAATAAAAATCCTTTAACATGTAAGCGAACAGTTTCTTGATATTATTTCTATTCTTGTATAATTCATAAGAAACAAGAAAATGCATACTGGATGTTGAAGATATTGACTTTATTTTCTGTTGACTTAAAGCCATCATGGAATAGAATTCCAAACAAATATGGTACAGTTAAGATATATGGAAGAAGCTAATAAACAATTACAATCATCATTTCTCAATACCTTACCCAACATAAGCTCTATGTAGTACCACACTATTGCTGGATCTGTAGCCACACAATCTCCCCTCTGTGCACAAGGTCTTGCCATGTCATATCCCCTGCCTGTAGGATTTGTAGCCACACAGTGTCTCTTTTCTGTGCATGAGGACCTAAAGGCATCTCACCTGTAGCATCTCCTGGATTATAAGTGGTTGAACGTGTTCCCACTGGATTGACAGCAAACAGCAACCATTTTCTTGAATAAACTTATAGTAATGGAAGCATAATGCTGCTGACAAAAGCAAATACAAAACGGACACATAGAAGAACAGAACAGAACAGCAAGTGTAGAAATACATCCATTACTTGAAAAACAGCTGAGTGTAGACAAACGTGCCCCACACACAAGGTAAAGAGAGCGTGTCAATAATAAATGATGTATCGAAGACTGGGTCTGCATCATTCACATAAATTAAACCAGACACATCTCACATCACATGCAAAAGTGGCACAGATAAAGATCACTCACTTAATTGGGATACCAAAACCATGAAACTAACACACACACACACACACACACACACACACACACACACACACACACAAATACATCAAAATCACTATTACAACAATTTGAATAAGACATTTTGATATAACCCCCAAATTAAAAAGAAATCAAACACAGACAAGTAAAATTGCATCAAACTAAATCCTTCTGTTCAACAAATAATGTACAAAGTA